AAGGTGAAGCTGAAGTATGAACAATGGCTAAATGTTTTCAAGTTTCAGAATTATAAAGTAGGAATGAAAACGTGAGACACTCATATAAACGGTTGAGTATTCCAATAGAATAAAATTAAGGTAATGAGATTTTAAATTAGTGTAATTGGATATATATATATATATATATATATATATAGTAAAATAGTTTTCAAATGACAGGGGTGTTAAATAAAAACCTGGAATGTTTTTTACAGAACAGCTACTGAAATGGAATTAAAGGAATCCCCATCTTATCAAATATTCTGAACAGCAAAGGATTTACTTACAGCATGTAAATGAAATTTGTAACAATGGAGGCATCCTGATCCCCACATCTCATCTCCAGATTTTTGGGGGGAGGGGTGTTAACTAGTTTAAATGGTGTGGAAGAAAGAATGTATTCCACAAAGACAGCAGGACATTTCTGAAATTGGTGGTGGGGGGGAGAGAAGCCTGGTTATTAAATATAACTTAATGGCCTCATTTTGGGGGCAGTATAGATACTTTTATGAAATGCTGATTTTTTTTTTTTTTTGGAGTAAGGTGATCTGGATTATTTTTCTCTGGCCAGTAATATAGTTAGACAAATTTGCAATGGTATGTGGGGCAAAGGTTTCTGAATTTAGACCACGAGGGCAGATAAAAATCTGACTTTAAGGAAGTGGAAGAACAGGGACCATTCTTTCCTAAAATCTGTAGCTCATGACGAGCAGACTCAATTCTTGTCCACATCTGTCTTCCAAATAAATAGGGGGGAATCCCCCATTAGCCAGCTGCCGCTGCAAATTACCCTTTTATATTTAACTTTGGGAATCTTTACATCTGAGCATTTGTTGACTGGCTGTTCTCAATATCCCCATTACTTCCTGCCCAGGATATCAGCATAACTGAGTTACTGGAAATTTGGGGCCAGTTTGGTAATTTTATGATAAAGTTGAGAAATAAAATTACTAAACCTGAAAAGACAGCTGAGTAAGTTGTTTGAGAGAATTAATTTCTTAGCCTTTGTTCTTGTAAGCTTTACCAAAGTTGTTTTTGACCTCCACATGCCTCTACTAGAGTCAGATGCTGGTTTTTTTTTTTTTTAATGGGGTTGTGGAGTGTTTTTGTATTGGTGTTCCATTAGTTCCTAGTGTGTCTGGAAACCTTTTGAATTTCAAATGTAGTTAAATGGACTGGAAATGGAAGCTCCAGTTATGTTCTTTAGTCAGTATTAGGAGAAATACTTGTTTTTACTTTTCCTACCTGTATCAAAATCCGGATAATTTAAATAATTCAGTTATGTCAGAAGTACTGTTTTCATTTCTTTTCTGATAAGTTTTTTCAGTTTAACATTCTAAATCTACTGAACAGTGATTGTATTATTAATGGAAAGGAGACTTTTCCCTTTAGTTTTGAAAGCAAACAGGTGACTTGAAAAAGCCAGACATACAACTTTAGTGTTTATTCAACAAATGGTAGGGCGGGCACTATTTAAATGTTGCTAAAGAAAGGTCTTATGCCTTAAAAGGTATTGCCCAAGATCGTATTTAACTGAAGTTAGTTAAATTAATTGAGTCTAATTCAAAAAGCTCAAAAGTGGTATAGTGAGTAGTAGTGTAATGTAATGGTCATAATTATTTGTGTGTGTGCGTACATATACATACAGTTGTTTGTGTATACATATGTGTTGTACATACACAAGTACACATGTTCAGTGTTTTCTTTGTAGAGAGTTAAGAGTATAGATAAAGATAGAACAGTTTATTTTTTAATTTGCTGAAATCTCTTTTTTTGATATAGTTAGGCTTGTCAGATCTTTTCAGAATATTTACGGTTGTACTGGTTAAGTAGTATTACTGGTGGAAACTGACAGATAGCAATGTGTAATCTTGCTTAATTAAAATAAAAAAAATTCACTTCCCTTATAACTCTTTTTCAGGTCAAGATGGAATTTTTTAAAAGCTAGTTTGCAGATTACAGTATCTGTTAATATTGAAACTAAAACTAATATGTGATACTTTAAATTCTTATTAAGATCCTTTAACTGACCTTAACTGATTTGGGATGAATCAGGCAGTTTCTAATTATGACACTCAAATATGTTAATATGATTATATTTTTATAGTACTTTGGTCTCTAATCCTGTTTAGAGCTGATCATTTATAAAGAGTTTCAAGAAAATGAGATTATTTCCTATAGGATCTTCCCAAATTTTGCCTGTGAACAGTCTTTTGCCTATGAAGAATTTAGGTTGTAATGTTGATTAGAAACTTTGAATATTCTAATTGAGGTTTTTTTTGCTTAACTTTTTAGCCTCTGTCCACAGCTATATTAGGAAAATTGAGTTGACCATTTAGCTCATGGGTGTGACCTTAGTGATTTCCTTGAAATAATGTTGAAGGATTTAAAGGATTTAAAACACAAATAAACCTGTAGCTTCTCATTGTTACTGTGGGTTGCTTTGTAGAGTTTTCTCCAATCTAGTCAATAGATATAGAAAAGATCATCGTATGAGTAAAATATAGAGGGAAATCTTAGAGAAAAACTGTAAGCTTCCTAACCAGATCTTGGAGATAATTTTATAATTTTAAGGATACAAATGCATTGGCCAGAGAGTAGCAGTTTAAGTTGAATGTTTTAATGAACATTTATTTGGACACTTTAGTAACCTGGGAAAAAGTAGATCTGTAAGCAAGGTACTTGTATAAAAATATAATTTTTCTGTGTTTTTGACAGTTTTTGAGAGCTTTTGAATACCTTATTGCTCCGTACTATGATATATAAAATATCCCATATCAAGAATGTAAGATACTCTGTTCAGCTGAAACACAGAGTCATGTTGTCTCTAAAGGTTAACAGTTTCAGTACACCTGTATGTCAAGAAAAATATTTCCAAGTTACAGCAATTGTCAGCAAGGTGGCTGTTGCCCCTAATTTGTTATACTTAAGTGCAAATTATTGTGCTTTTTCAATAAGCCATGTATAATGTGTAATATATGCTGATTTCAAGATCTACAGGTAGTAGCAGACTTCACAGCTTTAGTCACAAATCAGTGTCTAGCTGGTGCCCTAAAGAACATCACGCTTGTATTCCAGGCATTTATAGCAATGTGGTTATCCATTGGATTTCAAAGATTAGGTTGTGCTAAAATTTTAAAAAAGTATCTAGTTAAATGATCACAATGTAAATTAAACACTAGTATCTCTCAATATAGGCTTATATTGAATAACTTCCTGACTTAGGCACTGTATGTGTAGGGCTGATGGTTAGGTTCTGTTGTTTACTTGAGTGAAGGTTTAAAAATATTTTTAAAGATTGAGAGACATTTTTGTGAAGTAACTTTCGAAAAGCTTAGTGTGTTCAGAATGCTTGCTTTCTTGAAAACTATAAAAGCGTTAGAGTATAGTGTTGGGTTACAACATCCTCCCTCTCCCCCTTCAGTGCTTTGTCAAGAAGGACGGTTTCCTTTATCAGCAGGGTGGTCACTGTTGGGTGCTGTGTGCCGTACTGAAGGCCGCAGGGTCTTGGGAAGGCCCACGTGTGTGCACATACACACGAAATCCTTATTCGACAGCGATTAGATCAGAATTTCTATTAAGTCTTTATTATCACAACCACTTTAAAGATTTTTGTTTAGCAAATTGGTTTTAAGTGATGTAAACCTGGTTTAAAGTATTACTGTTTTAGAGTTTAAGGAAGTGTTTTGTCTACATACGTTTTAGTTTCTAAGTGGAGAGAGCTGGGGGCATTTGCTATCAAAGATTTCCCCAGCACGCCCAGCATTTTTGTTTTGGTGGGTCATAAGGAGAAGTGGGTATAAATCCAAGTGATGGCGGTTTTTGCTTGTGCTGGTCAACTTTATGGTATGATTACATATGATTCTTTTTTTTTTTTTTTTTTTTTTTTTACATTTTATTACACTCCCGAAGTTGCAGAATGGTAATCAGATGGCAGCCATAGATAGTCATGTAGACATTTTGATGAACACTGGAGTTAATTTTAATATCTGATCACTTATGGTTAGTGACTGCGGCCAAACATGTGCATACTGATTCTTTGCCTGTACCAATTACGTGATGTTTATTCACCAGGTGTTTGTTGAAGGCCTGACCCTGTGCCAGGCACCGGGGACAGCAGTGAACTGGGTAACAGGGACTCTGTCCTTAAGATCTAAAACAGGTGGCAGAGAAAGACAGTTGCAAGCAGACACATGAACTTGGGCAGTTTTAGATCTTGACAGAAGTCGTCAGAGGCAGTCCTCGCTGAGCTGGGCATGGTGTGCACCATGGTCGTGGCGTGTGCTGGGCAGTAAGTAGTCAGGGAAGGCGCCTCTGCGGTGGGCAGTAAGGATCACCCTGGAACCAGGTAGGCTAGGGCTCAGGACAGCTGGGCACAATTAATGACTATTAGGATCTGTCCCAGAAGCTTCCCTGAAGGAAGAAGTGCCTCTGTTTTGCTGGGAGGTTCTTCCCCATTTGGCCACACAAGAAGGCCTGTTGGCCCAGGGTTCCCTTCCCTCGCTGCCAGGCCTCCCAGGCTGTTCACCCTCCCAGGCAAAACCTAAGCTCTTCTTCTCCTGAGATCATTTCCCACTGTGCCTCCCTTATCATCCTTCACTCCAGGGAAATCTCAGAAGGTCTTGTGTTACAGGGTGATATGTGGTGACTTCCTTAACCCAGATATTTGAAAATTTCAGAGATAAAAATTGGAACCAAACCATATTCCTGAGTATTTCCAGTGACTAAGTTAGGCTGTAAGTTATGCTGTTACCCTGGGGAGAGGAGGGGGGAATAATAGGCCTATACCCACATCCTATTTCTAATCAAGAGATTGAGTGTAAGGTTGGTGTCTGTCTTCCTTTCTTTCTTTCTTTCTTTCTTTCTTTCTTTCTTTCTTTCTTTCTTTCTTTCTTTCTTTCTTTCTTTCTTTCTTTCTTTCTTTCTTTCTTTCTTTCTTTCTTTCTTTCTTTCTTTCTTTCTTTCTTTCTTTCTAGAAAAGATATCTGTAGAAAAGTAGGCTTCTCAAAAGTTTTTAAATTTCACAGATTAGTCAAATTTCTAACAACAAAAATAATGTTGAGGCCTGACATGGGGACTGACTTTGATTTTGCCAAATGAGGACATTAAAAAAAAACAAAACAAAAAACCCCCCACTATTTGCTGTACACCACTATGTCATTTTTTAGAAAAGCATATTTTAGCACCTAAAAGGAAGGACCTCAAATAAATGACAATCTTTATTTAAATTGAAATGAGTCTATGTGGCCTTATGTAGAACTCATGGAATGGTTTCTCTTTTTCTCATTTAACTTAACTGTTGGACAGTGAAAATGTGTCAGTTTCATAACTGCTTTTCTAGAGTATGTGCTGTTCATATTAAAACATTGCCTGGGACATTGGCTCTCAGTAAATACTTGTTGAATGACTGCATAGAAACCTAATTTAGCAGCCCCTTATCCAAGTATCATTTAATATTCTGATTAGCAGAGTCATCGAACATTTTTTTGAATGTGCAAATCTGTCCCCATAACCATAGAATTTTGAAATTCTCAGGACCACCCTATCGTTTAACCAGTGGTGTTAAATAGATTTGGAAAGATGAGAGGTGTGTGGTGACATCCTTACGGTTGTGACTTAGCCAGGCTAGAACACAGGTCTCTGGAGTGTTCTGTTCCGAAGCACCAGGCTGGTGACCAGCTGGTGTGCTTATTAGTTAGTAGCCTCCATTGTGATTGCCACAAAGAAAAGACTGAGAAATTGAGATTAAAAACTTCAGTAAGTTCTTTCTTCACCCTAATCTTTGATCTGCAGTCTTATTTAGAGCAGCTTAATACTAGAGATCTAATTTATTCAAAACTAAAGATAACAAGGAGTACGAGAATTTCTTTTTTGGGAATGGGAAGGAGGGAAGAGCTGTTTCCTCTGCCTTGCTCTTTAAGGAAGTGGAGAGAAGGAAAGTAAATGTTTTCTGTTGTTGTGCTTGTACATGGCCTGCAGTGGGCGTAATTTGCCTGTCTTTTTGTTTTCTTCGGTAGAATTAACTGATTTAAGTTTCAAGGTAGTTGGGACTGTTTAAAAGCAATTCTTACACTTGCCATAAAGGTAGAGGGTATTGGCTTTAGAGGTTAATTCTTCTCCAAGAATGAAATAAATTTCACTTCTAAGTTAGAGCCAGTGAGCTAAATAATCCATCTTCTACCCGGCTAGGGCCTCAGGTGAGAGGTGGATCCATTTTCTGATTGAAGACTGAGCTATGCAGGTTCTGCTGTGTTGAGGGTTAACTGAAGTTAAACTGAAGTTAAACTTCAGTTTATACATTCAGAGAGTGGCCTTGTGTGTGCATTTCCTTACCTGTTGTCTGGACTAGGAAGTCCTACCCAACGCTTACTGGAGGCAGAAAATTGTTGAAAACAAACTGGGATTTGGACAGTGAGTTGAGGTTTGGAATATCCAGTGAGCCGCAGCATATCAAGGTTCCCTTGGCCAAGACGGGTACCTGTCCCGAGGGGTTCCGTGTTTCCTGAATGGGGATGTTAGGAAAGGTTCCTGTTTTTGTGTGCTTATGTCGCTGAGCCCTGTATGTGCTATCTTCCCTTGTGGTTTTGGCCATTTGTGTTTGTTGTATGTAGATTTGTTTGTGTATAAGCCAGTTTTAAGCACTGGCTTTAAGCACTAACATTTTACTTGAGAAAGTGGTTTCATTTTGTCGTCTCAACTTTTTTCACAGTTCTTATAGTCTTTAGGCTGGGGAGGCTGTTTAGCAGGTACACATGTACATTTTAGTGGCTTTTAAAATATAGTCAACCGAATTTAACAATTTCTGCCCTAAAACTTGACGTTTTAGATTTAAATCAGTAAAGCCTCATGTCTTAAGTTTAACTGGATGAAATTCTGATTTAGTAAGTGTACTGACTGGATAAAATACCAATGATTTAATTAACAAGCATGTTTAACAGGATGCACTGTATGTTAGTTAAAAGTGAAGCAACTGAATTGGTCGCCTTTTCGGCCTTGTGGAAAAGACCCTATGAGTCATCCGCGCCAGCCTTCTCTTTTCTCTGGGTGTAGCTAACCGTTCCTATTTTTTTTCCTCTAGGGTTTGGAAATCCCTTGTCTCCAGGTTGCTGGGATTGACTTCTTGCTCAATTGAATCACTCACTCAATGGAGACAAAGAGAACTAATGCTTTGTGCTGATTCATATTTGAATCAAAGCATCGGGGAGTCTGTATGCCTTGTTTGTGGAAAGAACCAGTGACACTATCACTGAGCTTCCTAAAACTTCTGAAGATAAGAAGTTAGAGGACTATATACTTTGTTTTGAACTTTTATAATAAATATTTGCTCTAGTTTTGAAGCCCAGGGCTGCTGGAGGTGTGAGTGACAAGTCTTACAAGTGGCCTTATTCCAACTCTGGAAATTCCCCAAGGAAACTTTGAGATTCTTGTTTTTTGTTTTTTGTTTTTTTTTTTTTTTATAAAACCTAGAGTGACAGGAACCATGCCAACCCAATCCCTCTTAGTGTACATGGATGGGCCAGAAGTGATTGGCAGTTCTCTTGGCACGCAGATGGAGATAGATGATGCCATGTCGATAAAAGGGACCACTGCTGTTCCTTTCAGAGCTACGCAAGAAAAAAATGTCATCCAGATAGAGGGATACATGCCTTTGGATTGCATGTTCTGCAGCCAGACCTTCGCGCATTCAGAAGACCTTAATAAACATGTCTTAACGCAGCATCGGCCGACCCTTTGTGAGCCAGCAGTGCTGCGGGTGGAAGCCGAGTATCTTAGTCCTCTTGATAAAAGTCAAGTGCGAACAGAGCCTCCAAAGGACAAGAACGGCAAAGAAAACGAAGAGTTTAGCTGTGAGGTATGTGGGCAGACATTTAGAGTCGCTTTTGATGTTGAGATCCACATGAAGAAGCACAAGGACTCTTTCACTTACGGGTGTAACATGTGTGGAAGACGATTCAAGGAGCCGTGGTTTCTAAAAAATCACATGCGGACACATAATGGCAAGTCGGGGGCCAGGAACAAACTGCAACAAGGCTTGGAGAGCCCAGTAACCATCAACGAGGTCGTACAGGCACATGCAGCCGAGAGCATCTCATCTCCTTACAAAATCTGCATGGTTTGTGGCTTCCTATTTCCAAATAAAGAAAGTCTCATTGGGCACAGCAAGATGCACACCAAAAAAACTGCTTCCGGGCCCAGTAGTCCACAAACAGGCTCTCAGCAAGAGGGAATGTCTCCTCCGAGGGAAGAGTTCCTGCGGTTTTTAAACCTAAGACCAAAATCTCACCCTGAAACGGCGAAGAAGCTCGTGAAATGGATACCTCAGCTCGACCCGTTCACCACCTACCAGGCCTGGCAGCTGGCCACCAAAGGAAAGGTCGCCGTCGGCCAAGAAGAAGTGAAGGAGTCGGGGCAGGAAGGAAGCACCGACAATGACGACTCGAGTTCAGAAAAAGAACTTGGAGAAATTTGGAGCGTGACTAAAAGCCATTCGGAAGGTTCTGGAAAGTCCAAAACAAATAAAAGTTGTACAGGCCTCTCACAAGATAAAGAGAAGTCCAGACACTCCAACGGTGAAGTGCCTTCTGCGGACGGGGACCCAAAGTTGCCCAGTAACAAAGAGAAGCCGACGCACTGCTCCGAGTGCGGCAAAGCGTTCAGAACCTACCACCAGCTGGTCTTGCACTCGCGGGTGCACAAGAAGGACAGACGGACGGACGCCGAGTCGCCCACCATGTCTGTCGACGGCAGGCAGCCTGGGACGTGCTCTCCAGACCTCCCCCCCGCTCTGGACGAGAACGGAGCCGTGGATCGAGGGGAAGGTGGTTCTGAAGATGGATCTGAGGATGGGCTTCCCGAAGGGCTCCATCTGGGTAAGCTGCTCCGGGCCGTGCTGTTCCCCGTGTCCTCCCCGTGTTCGTGTCCCAGGCGGCGCCGGTGGGGAGCGGGGTTTGGAGAACCAGGTCCAGGCTCTCTGTGGCAGCACTCTGTGTAAGACACTTAGCCTCTCAGGGCCTTAATTTTCTCATTTCTGTAATAACAGGGTTGCGTTAAGAGGCCCATCAAGTTTTCTCCTTGTTCTGAAAATTCTGTGATTTTTGTATTTCGCTCACAACACACATTTTTTGTGTGTGTATCGGCCTAAAGCTCTGTTTCCCAGCTGGGACAGTTTTGCCCCCAGTTGACATCTGGCAATGTCTGGAGACGTTTTGGGTTGTAACAGCTGTGCAGTGGTGTGTGTTGTGCATGCAGCTGGCATCCAGTGGGCAGAGGCCAGGGACACTGCTACACATTCTACAAGGCCCAGGACAGCACCCTCATCAAAGGACCATCTGGCTTGGAATGCCCCTAGTATCAAGATTGCGAGATTTCACTTAAAGTTTTTCTACCATTCCTGATCTCATCTCTAAAAACAAGCTGTCTTCACATGCAATTAACTTCCCTGTCTTATCAAGGCCCAGTTCTCATACATTTATTCCAAATGAGTTTTCTAGTGATCACAAAAGGTAATGGAAATGATTGTCCCCCAGAACCAAAATGTTATTAGAGAAACCATTTGGTGCAGGCTGATACCCCATCCTTAATGTTTGGGAAGCTAGTGCCCATTAGCAAGTAACTCAGTAACCCAAACAATTTGTCCCTAAAATACAGGGAATGTGAACACATCAAAGATATTTTTAAGAAATCTCACTTGCTCAGTAGAAATTTCATGTACTGGTGGCATTTATGGAAACAAAACTGTCACTGAAGGCACGCTCATCTTATTTCCCAAGCCTCAGTGGAATTGTACAGGGCAGAGGATTCCACCTGTGTTTGGAGTTTTGCCTTCTTCACTTCAGCCAGAGCTGCTCATGTCTGTTAATATTTTGTTTGAATAAAGGATTCTGCTGCTTAAAACCATTTTTAAAAACCCCCAATGTGTAGGACATTAATCAACAAGTGAATAATGGTCACATGAATTGGTCTCAGAAACATTATTGTTTATGAAAGTGGTCTTTGGTTAAAACAAATGCCACCTTCTCATTCCTTCAGTGTAATTTTACAGTGCGTTTTAAGTTTTCTATGAACTCAGAGAACCATGATGAATTTTTCGTTGTTTTTTGAGATAAGATCTCACTCTGTTGTTCAGCCTGGAGTGTAGTGGTGCAGTCATAGCTCATTATAGTCTCGAACCCTTTGGCTCAAGGGATTCTGCCTCAGCCTCCCAAGTAACTGGGACTACAGGGAGTGTACCACCATGCCCCGATAATTTTTCAATTTTTTTTGTAGCGATAGGGTCTTGATATGTTGCCCAGGCTGGTCTTGAACTCCTGAGCTTAAGTGATCCGCCTGCCTCGACCTCCCAAAGTGCCGTGATTACAGGTGTGAGCCACCATACCTAGCCAGCCACATTATCAGTTTGACCATACAATATTTTAGACTCTTCACTTGCTTTTAAGCCATTGCCCATTTCTTTTTCAGATCATGTGATCTATGTGAGAGCAGTAGTTTTTATATCAAATATTTGGAATGTTTTGAGTTTCCTGACACATAGGAAGCCTAGCACTTAGCCTATTACAAATCTTTAGTTTTCTGAAATCTAGAAAACACATTATGATGTCTCAATGACATCATAAAAAAGGCTTTAATCACAGTGGCAAAGTGGTTTCTCCTAGTACCAGTACTGTACTAGTACAATGCCCTGAAAGCAATGAAATGGCCAATTGCTAGTAGGTGGCATGGAAAACTTGGGCTGGTTCATCAAGGTGGATAGAACACCCAGTCATGGATGGGAGCGCCACAGTTTGGCATTGGTTCTGGTTCTACCACTGCATTGTTTTGCAACTGATTATATGTTGCTTACACCCTTCTTTGCCCCGATTTCCCTGTTTGCAAAATTGGCCCATGATCCTTGTCTTCCACCTCCCAAGGATAATTTCAGCAGCCTAAGTTCATATGCCTTTAAAGAACCCTGTAAAGATAGAGGTGATGCTGAGAGAGCAGGAGCCAGGGACACATGGAAATGTCATGTCCTTTGTTCTAAAGTAAAGGCACTTTATAGCTTTCTGGATATGATGCAACATACTATAAATCCTGACACACACAGTTGGAAGTAGGAAATTACAACAAGGTGCAAACCCAGCTAGTTGGGTGTGATTGTAAGAAAGCAAGCTGGTGGTTCTGTATTTAGGGAATTGATTTTCCTAAATGTGTATTACTGTGTGGTTTCTAGATTTATCTTACTGTACTATCATTTCGGTTTTTTTTTAAATTTATTTTTAAGATCATAAAACTAAATTTATTTTTAACAGTTTTTATGTCACCCTTTTAGATTAGGTTGTCTCCATTTTAAAGGTGACTGTACACTTTCCCTAGAGGGGAGTTTAGGGATAACAGAGATGGTACAGTCCTGTCTTTGTTACACTTGAAAGCTCACCAAGGTCTGCTTATAAGCTACTTTTTAAAATTAGTAAGTTGCAGGCAATCTAGAGTGCAGAAATATGGAAGGAGGACAGAAGAGGCCTTTCTATTGGACATAACAGTTTTGCAGGCAGAATGGCCAGTTTGATCATGCTAAACTTAGAGCTGGCCAGACCTTTGTTGTCATTTCTGTTATAATGTACACGATAGGATCTACAGCAGAGGACGTTTATTTACACTTACTTGTTTAGGTGAGGGGTATTTTAATTGCTGCACATCTGACTGTCTTTTGGAGGGCCGTGTGTGTGAGTCTAATGAATCAGGCTTTCATCAGTCTACAGTGGACTTTGTACTTGCAAGGTGCTGTCCTGATTATCCCTCGAAGATTGAGGCTGAAGGCCTAACGCGTTGCCGTTTGGGGACAGATTTTGAGTTGTCAGATGTATTTTGCCTACATGAGTGCTTGTGAGCAATACAGTCTGCTTTCCAAAACTTAGCTAAATTTTGACAAACTTTCCTATATTTGCCCAATGCCAAACTTTCATTTCTGTTGAAGATTAAGTTGTGCTTGCTACCCTCTAGTGGTAACTTGTTTAATCTTAAAATAAAAAGCTTATTTTTCGGAACTCCGGTGGTTGGGGGAATTGAGGTGGTTGGGGGAATTGAGGTGGTTGGGGGAATTGACGGTTTACACTGGCTTGTTTTTCTAAATTACTTATTGTGAAGAAGGTGGCTTTTCCAGCTAGCCCGTACGTCCACCTTCAGTTGTCAGGTCCTGCTCGCTCAGAGATATGGGGAGATCAGGAAGCTGCCAGTGCGGTTTGGTCTAGTAAATGATCTTTCTTGTGATTAAGGCAAACAAAGAACTGAATCTTTAATAGTGCACTTTGCTATACCCAGAGTAAAAATATCAAAAACACAGGCATTTTATAAAACTTTAAACAGTTTCAAAGCAGCATTTGGTGTGTTTTTAGCCTTTTTGGGTCTACCCCAATCCTGGTATAAAAAAATTATTTCATGCTTTCTAAACACGCTTATATCAAGAATATTAATTCAGTATGTCTTATACATGTACTTCAGCTGTCTTATAAAATATTTTTGTTTCTGCTTTAAGATAAAAATGATGATGGAGGAAAAATAAAGCATCTCACATCCTCAAGAGAGTGTAGTTACTGTGGAAAGTTTTTCCGTTCAAATTATTACCTCAATATTCATCTCAGAACCCATACAGGTAAAGAACTTCTTCTTTTTTTTTTTAAAGTATGTATTAGTAAAAAGAATTATAATATAGTTCTCTACTTTTTTTTATTCAGATATTCTACCAGATGCTTGGAATAGTGAAGAATAAATGTGTACTGTGTTTATTGCAGCTGTTATTTTTATTCTTTTAGTATAATTGTCACTTGAGCTGTGCCTGTTTCAAAGTTAATTTCTTGTTTAGTTTGTGACTATTGTACTTGACATTCACATTTTATTAAAACTGCTCATTTTTAAATGCCATATCTTTTTCATATTTTTATGATTTAGAATGAAATGAAAATATGTTTAAGTAGTCTTTCTTTGGATTGTGAAAGCTATAGCACCATGGCATGGGAGGCTACATAGATTTGAATTTCATCTCTTGCCCTCCCCCATTAAAAAAATAAAAGAAAGTGAATTTTATCTCTTCCATGTACTAGTTACAACGTTGGGCAAGTTATTTAACCTTTTTGTGCGTTTAGTTTTTTAGCCATAAAAGTAGAATAATAATCACTTCATAGGACTGTTATGAAGATTAATAAATAAGTTAGAATTGTTGCTATTATTTTGTTTTTTCTATTGAAGATATGTATTTGTACTTTCACATATTCAGTATAATAAGGGTGTGATGAAGCGGAGAACTCATGAGAAATCCTGGATGCATGAAGATTAGTAGATTGAGAAGGGAAAAGGAAAGGAAGACTGTATTTTCTAAATAGTGGATTCTTCTTGTTTCCACAAATCTATTTTGATGCTTTTCATAAACTTCTATAATACAGTGCCATTTCTTGTTTTAGGTGAAAAACCATATAAATGTGAATTCTGTGACTATGCTGCAGCCCAGAAGACATCTCTGAGGTATCACTTGGAGAGACATCACAAGGATAAACAGATAGATGTTGCTGCTGAAGTCAAGAACGATGGTAAAAATCAGGAGACTGAAGATGTACTGTTAACCGCCGACAGTGCGCAAACCAAAAATTTGAAAAGATTGTTTGATGGTGCCAAAGATGTCAAAGGCAGTCCACCCGCAAAGCAGCTCAAGGAGATGCCTGCTGCCTTTCAGAACGTTCTGGGCAGCGCTGTCCTCTCACCAGCACACAAAGATACTCAGGATTTCAGTAAAAGTGCAGCCGACAGTGCGGACAGAGTAAACAAGAGTCCTGCCCCTGCTTACGTGGACGTGCAGAGAAAGAGACCGGCAGCTGAGCCGCAGGCGAATCACCTGGTCTGTAAAGCAGAGGAGGAGCGCGCTCCTCCTGCGGACGGCGGCGCCGCCCAGAACCGGAACGCGGACGCGGGCCCCAGAGACAAGAAAGCGGAGATGGCAGCAGATTGCAAATACAAGCCGAGCTCGGACTCTCGTGACACGCCTCTAAATCTGTCCCTCGGGGCTCTTCACAACTGCACAGGAATGTCTTTGGGTAAAAACGCGATCCCGAGCAGCACCTGTCCCTTTTGTACCTTCAAAACATTTTATCCAGAAGTTTTAATTATGCACCAGAGGCTGGAGCATAAATTCGACACGGACACTAACAACAAAAACTGTAGAAACAAGTCTTCGCTCAGAAGTCGGCGCACCGGGTGCCCGCCGGCTTTGCTGGGCAAAGACGTGGCTCCGCTGCCGGTCTTCTCCAAGCCCAAGGCCAAGGCGGCTTTCCCGGCGGCCGCGGCGGCGCAGTCCAAAGCCCAGCCCTCGGAGAAGGCCAAGCAGAGCCCGCCGGGGCCGGGCCGGGCGCCGCTGGCTTCGGGGACGGACGCCAGCACTTTAGCCCCGAGCAACCTGAAGTCGCACCACCGGGGGCCGCCACCTCAGGGCGTCGCGGTCGGGGCCGCCGCCAGGCCAACGCCGCCGCCGGAGACGACGTTTCCGAAGACCGCCGCGTCCCCCGCGCCGCCGCCTGACAAAACGAAAAGGCCTGAGGCGAAATCGAGGCCTCTGCCCCCGGCCGCCCCTTCTTCGCAGCCCGGCCTGGGCGCCAACGGCTCCGTGGACTACCCCGCCAAGCACGACGGGCCCTGGGCCCCTCCGGGGAGAGACTATTTCTGCGGGCGGGGCGCGGCGGACTTCGGGGAGCCTCCCCCCAAAAGGCCGAGGTGCAGCGCGGCCGCGCTGGACGCCGAGCAGCCCGGGCCCAACTACCGGCGGGCCTACGACCTCCCCAAATACCGCGTCGTCAGGAGCATCACGTCGCTGTTACCTCAGGAGTGTGTGTGCCCGTCGCCCGTGTTGCCCCCCAAGCCCACGCGGTTCCTGAGCTCTGGCGAGGCCGAGCCCCCGACCGCGCTGACGGCTCAGAAGCCCTACGGCGGCCCCGCGCCCCTCTATGCCTGCGGGCCGGCCGCGGGCGCCGCGCTCGCGCTCGAAGGTACCGCCCGCCCGCTTATGCCTGTGTCTGTCTGTGCGTTCTCGGGGAAGGTGACGCCAGCCACCCACAGGGGGCCAGAGTTCCTGGAGGATAGTACACAGAGAGAGAGAGAACCGGTCTCAGATACGGCAGTGGCTTGCGGTCCTCCAGAGCTTACCTCTGCAGGGCTAAACCTTTCCCGAGTATTTAGTTCCTCTTGCTAATTTGATTGTTCTCTGTTGCTGGAGTGATCACGAAGGAAAGAAATGGTTGGGAACCGCCGGGCTGATCTGATCTTTTCCTTTGGCATGCCAGGTGCCGCTCAAGGCCCTGCTCACCTCACTGCACCGTTGCCTTTTCTCCTGCCTTGCACATTTATTATATTAGGCCCAGCGCTCAGTCCTAGCCTGCTGCTGCCCTGGTTTTGCTAGCCCCACTGTGTGTAGCTTGGGATCACATGCAGCCCTGCCAGTGCCCCCCTCAGGGAGGAGTGTGAGGGGTTCACAGTAAATACCGCACGGGCCCCTCCACCTGTTGGGAGCAGAAAGTGTAAGAACTGCTGGTGAAACAGTCCTTTGGAACAGTTTTGACATTAGGACATTTAGCGCTGTACTGCCTAGTTACCGTTTGTTAAATACGGGTAGCCCTCCCCGTCTGCAGTTCCTGCATCTGTGGATTCAACCAACTGCAGGTCAAAAATGTTGAGGAATAAAGCATTAGATGGTTGTGTCTGTACTGGACACGTGCAGACATTTTTCCTTATCATTATTCCCTAAACACTACATTATAATGTACATAGCATTTATATTGTATTGGGTATCGTAAGTAGTCTAGATGTGATTTAAAGTACACAGGAGCATGTGCATAGCTTATATGCACATTGTATATCAGGGACCCGAGCGTCGTGGGTTTGGTATCCACCGGGGGCCTGGAACCCACTGCCCCATAGATACCGAGGGGCACCTGTATTAAGTGAATTTAAAGGATGACATTATTTTCCCACATATGTAAATCATTAACCTTGTAGATGACTTTGGTGTTCTCCCATAGAAACGTTTTCCTGGTGGTAGCGTTTCGTAGAGGTGCCTGGCACATACCTGTGCACATAAAAAGGTGGATCACAGTGTCCAGGTACACGTCCCTCTTGGCAGACTTGATCAAACCACAGCACCTTCTTATATCTGATATAAGCTCTGCTGGTTCGTGCTGCCCCAAAGAGAGAAAGTCGTTTTAAGCCTTTCAGTTTGTGTTAGTTTCAGATTAAGGACTGACTGTGGTGACAGTGCTGTGTGAGGATAGCGTGATGCGATTGGTCTGGTAGGGACAGCAAATTAAAAAACAATTGCTGCCACACACAGTGGGTTTTATAAAAAATTGTGATGAAATAGTAATTTTTGCTGCCTTTTGATTAAAAGTACCCCCCCCATGGTGCTTAAAATGGACAAGAATCAAGACTTTGTCTTTACTTAGGGAGAAAAGGCTCTGTGCTAGAAGTCAAGTCTTCCCTTAAATGTTTTATTTTAAAGCTCTTTTTCTACATAGTTTTTGTTCATGATGCCTATAGATTTAAAATACTTTTATGCTCCCTCCCCCTTTTTTTTGGCTTTTGATTCTTTCTAATGGTAGCCTTGGAACCCTGTTAATTTTAGCTTTAGAGACATCAACAAAATTCTGTGCTAACAAATGTTCTCATAAAAACAGTTCAGCCATAACTGTGCAAACACATGGATTTATCAGTGTTAGGGAGTTTTGAAAATATACTAACCCATGTACTTCTTACCTAATTGCTTGACTTTAAATGCCCCTGTACCCTTTTTTTTTTTCATTCAGGAAAAAGGCCTGTGTCGTATCAACACTTATCTAGCAGCATGCTGCAGAAGAGGAACTATGAAAATTTTATTGGGAATGCACATTATCGACCAAATGACAAAAAAACTTGATTTCTTATTTTTAGGGAAAAAAGGTGAGCATATGTTTTAATTAAATATAATGTATTGATTTTACTTAATTGAAAATAAACCATCTAACTTGTCTAATATAAATTACTTTTTAATTTTGATTTTTTTTAAAGCTGTTTTAAAATCTAGAGTGCTCAGGGCCATTGGATATCAGTGATGATAATAGTAAAAATATTCATAGTGACTGGAATTTACTTGGTGCTAGGCACCGAGTGAAGTGTTGCATGATCAAGATCTCATTTAATCCTTGCTACAGCAGGGGGCGTTAGGTCTGGGATCAGCAAATTAGCTTCCCACCTGTCTTTGTGAATAAAACTTTATTAGAACATGGCCACGCCCCTTTGTTACCTGTCACCTGTGGCTGCTTTTCTGCTACCACAGTAAAGTTGGGTAGCTGTGACAAACTGTATGGCCTGCAAAACTGAAAATATTTATTGTCTGGCCATATACAGAAAAAGTCTGTGACCTGGGGTTAGGAGGAAATCTGTACATTTTGTAGATGAGGAGACTGAGGCTTGGATTATGCAGCTTACTCCAAGCCCTCCTCAGTCCACGTGTGGCTGGAGCCTGGTTTTGGTCCTAGGTCTGCCCAGATTTAAAGTCTGGGCCCAGCCTTCGAGTTCAAGAGCTTGTTCAAATTTTTTGCAAACCCTTGCCTCTTGGGGGAGGGAAACCTGGGACAGGAGCAAGTATAAAGTTTATTTCGACTTTTATGGTTCACATATCAAATGCATCTAACTATAGAGTAACCCCATAGGGCTCAAGCAGTGTCATCAGAATTGCACATGTTAGTTTATTCAGAGTTTGGGCAGAGGGTGTGATGTCTGTGTTAGGTCTCATTTCACAGTAAAGTTGAATGAAAAGGTTGGGACTCCTGGACAGATTTAGTTCTTTCTCACATAACCCTTGTCTCATGAAACTGTCACCATACACTCCTGGAGCAATGTCTTTGCTGAGTGCTTGCTAGATGTTAGGATACAGACATGAGAAGAGGGCCCTGGTGCAGGGCAGAATTTCTCTCTGTTTTCACTGGGACCACACATGAGCACAACAGTGATGTTCTCCTGGGCAGTATCAGCTTTATGCAGTTCTGAAGCCTCCTCTCTCAGGATAATAAATGCAGAATGGGAATGAGTAAAGTATATCCTGTCCTCAGTCAAAGGAATGATGTTAAATCCACTCTACATTAGAACACAAAACCCAATAATATTTGGATTATGAGCAACTGATTATTAGTAACATGTAATATACATTACAGCTGATCAATGGGAGCACATGGTAGCTGGCCTCTCTGTAAGCTCTGGGCTTCTTGGCTTGCATTTCCTTCTACCTGCAACATCCTGCCTGCACCTGCTTTGCATAACAACCTCTTTGTGGTACTCAGGACTATTCTTGTCATTTCTGTAAAATCTTTGCTGGAAGTCAGGGGCTTCCTTTGTGTTCCTTCTGCATGTGGTTCATCCCGTTTCCAGTCATCTGTGTGTTCATCTTCTGCCACTAGCTAAGCTTGAGGGGACACTTGCATTCAACACCTGGCCTGTTGTCTGAAATATTGATAACCAAATAGATGTTATCTGAGCAAATTATGTGATAAATTATTTAATGCACTCTTTCTCATGAAGGGAGGTTATTATAAATCATGTTCGTTTTGTTAAATATTCCTGGGCCATTCCATATATTTTTGTTTCTTAATGTATAAACTTTGTTTCTTGTAGGTGGCAATTGCCTTTTTAGACTTCATGTAACTTTTATTACATTCTGATTATTGGTTACATCATCTCAGTTAAATCACTGCAGGCACATCTCCTTAGTACTGCAGAATATTTACTTAGTCTGCTGATAGCGTCATTGCAAAATTTGCACTCTGATGGAATCCACTGCATTTCTAGGTCCCTTCAGTTCCATTTATTATACCTTTTTTTTTTTAATTTTCTAAACTGTATTTAGTTTTTATCTTAATCACTTTTTAATTTTTTTTCCTTAGGTCTTGATGGATGTAAGTGCATACCCTCCATGAAATTAAATTTTAGTTCATCCTTTGAGAAAGTGAATGGTGAAAGCTACTGAAATAAGCTGTGATTGTACTGTACATATAACATATAAGGAACACTACAGTTTTGTAAAGTTGTTCTGTTAACTTTTGTACCAAATAGCAATAAAACTAGTTGTTGGGCTGTATACAAGTGGGGACTAGAAATCTCTATTTTGTCCCTGAATAATATTTTTTTTAGAATTGACCAAATAAGAAGTGGAATTTTTGCATACTTGAGCGCTGCTGAAAAGAAATCATTTGGGGTAGGGCGGGGTGGGGTGGGGGAAAAGTATATAATGCTTGCACCTCAGGTAAAAATCTGTAAATATTTAAGTTGTAAACCTGCTTGTTCAAATACTATGTGTATTCCTTTTCTCATGTAGCTCATCACTTTGAGCAGTTCTGCTATTTGTGCTCTTTCATTTAAAAATGTATGTTTTTAAAAAAATTCTCAATGATTTGTATTATGTTGAATCCTCTGAAATCTATTGTTGTCTTAACGAAATTGTTAAACGGAAGTATTGACCCTCTATGAATATGTGCTGTGTGTGTTGAGGTCAGCCATTCTGAATTTGGCGCCCTTGTGTCCCAAACTTCAGCATGTCAACTGGGGAAGACACCTTCCTGGCCGCTCCAGGTTGTCCTGGAGTCACCACCCTCCTCTCCTGAGGGGTGGGGTGGCTTGTGGGGTTTCTAAGTGGGTGTCTACAGAGGAGCTTTTCCTCCATAGAGCAGCCGGATATCAAGTAAACATACCTAACTGTGTGTGGAGTTAAATTTGTTTTCTATCAAATTTAATCATCTTTGTTGGAAAATTCAGGTTTTTTGAGTGTTTTGCCTAAATTAGCACATTAAAATATAAGTGTTAAATTATATATGTGAATTCCAAATATTGGGAAGCAATTTTAAAGGAAATGAAAGGTTTTTTTGAAAATTTTAGGTTTGTATTTGGCAGTCTTGGCGTGTCTGGCATTGAGGTTGACTGTGGACATATTAAAGTTAATTATAGACACATTGATTCTGACTAAGAAACTGCTGGCTGAGCCTCCTGGGGAGAGAGAATCTGCTTCTAGACCTCAGTTGTCTTCCCATTTTGGTTGTTTTGAAGCAGCAACGTTTTTCTCAGTGCACATGCAGTTTTGGTTTTAGGAGAGCCACGAGCTGGCTTACTAGATATTTTAAACTTTTGTTCCTTTAATGTGCTGTCGCTGGCTGAGTTGATTCAGCAGTATGTGGGTTTGGCAGCCACAGAATATTTTATTAAGAAACCGTTTCAAGATAAATTTGCACTGTTAATTTTTCTGGCCCTGCTCTTCTCCACAGAGCAAGGATAAAGTCCTAAAGGAGTCCTGATTTTTTTTCCATTATGCAACATGAGGTGTCCTTGGTAGAAGTCTTAACTCCTGTGCTAAAGGGAGACCTAACTGAGATCGGTCTGCTGGCCTCGAAATGAAGTGCTTTGTATCAGGAAAGTGTACACTATTGACCTTGTTTCCTGTTCACAAGCTGAGCCATATGTACATAATCTAGATTTTGTTTTCATAGTTTTGCACTTTTATAGCCTATTTTTGAAGATTAACACATTTGCAAGATAATTGATTCAGTCTTTGCCTAATTCAATGAGTGTTACAGAGAGCTTGCTGTGACTATAAACGGAAATCTTAAAAAGGGGGTATGTGATAATAGAGGGCTGAAATTTAAACCTGTATTTAAAAAAATCACCAAATCTATTTGAAAACAAGTCAGTTTGTGTTATGCTGAAATTTTTTGGGCTTTCAGATTTCTCCTTTTCAACCACATTTCTGAATACGTAAAAATACCAATTTTTTTCACAGCCCTTTGTACTTCAAAATGTTTTTTTTTTTTTGTCCATCAGTATTAACTATTGGTATACTACTGGTTTTGTATGTTTTTTTTTCCTTTGAGACAACAGTACATATAATAGAGGTACAATTCGTTGGATTTTTGTTTATGTATTTATTTCATTCCAGTTTGATTTATTTTAATTGTTGATACTTAAGTTGTCAAATAGTAGACATTACTTGTTTATTTATGATATATTTCAGCTTAAAGTTATGTTATTATATGTGGATGTAAATATAGATTTGGTGTTTTGCAATCTTGGGTTTTGGTCATTATTGTGTTCCTGGTTTCTGATTTTGTTTTATTTAACTTTTTATAAATACAATTTTAAACATACACAATGATGGATTAGTGTAAGAAAATGAACCCCCATTCACTCATCAGAACTTTTTGCTACTCCTCATTCCCCCTCCCTGGTCCCAGATTTTAAAGAAATCTCAGGATTTAATTTCATTCCTAAAATACTTGAGTAGATATCTCTAACAGATAAGGATGTGTCGTGGCCACACCTAACTAAAGGAATGATGTCTCACGACCAACCCCGCCAGTCTACGTCTGCATTTCCTAGTCGCCTCAAATGCCGTCTTCCCCTTCGCGCACAGGGAGGCACTTGTGACATTTAGAGGCTTCTTAAGCCTCTTTTAATCCAACCCAACACGTACACTTTATGACATTTCATTTATTGAAGAAACCGGATCATCTGTCCTATAGTTCTCGCATTCTTGTTTCCGTTTATTATGTATTTGTGGTTTTGTTTGACGAGTTTCTCCAGCCTCCGTCTGTCCTGTAAGCTGGCAGGTCTAGAGGCTTCCTGTAGATCCGGGTTCACTTCTTGGGGGGGGACCGGGGCGTGCAGTTCCTGCTGCATCACCCCTGGAGACGCAGGGCGTCCGCTTTCCCCACCTGCTGGGATGCTGCGCTTGATCGGTGGGTTCAGGTGCGTCACACTCACCAGCCAGCCTAACATTCTGCCAACCTTTCTCCTTAGGATTTTAGAGCTGTTGAACACTAGGAGTGTTGGAAAAGTTGATTTTAAAAAAAATTTTTTTTGGAGGGGAACTCACACTTTTATTCCTAAAAAGATGATTTTTAGAAAGGGTTTTTATCATAACTTTTCACATCTGCTAGTTGAAATTTTCTTTTTTTTTGAGAGACACGGTCTCCCTCTGTTGCCAGGCTGGAGTGCAATGGTGCTGTCAGATGTCAGAGCTCACTGCAGCCTCTAACTCCTGAACTCACAAGCGATCCTCCTGCCTCAGCCTCGTGAGTAGCGGGGACTGCAGGCATGTGCCACCACGTCCAGCTAATGTTTAAAATTATTTTGTAGGGATAGGTTCTCACTATGTTTCCCAGGCTGGTCTTGAACTCCTTGCCTCAAATGATCCTCCTGCCTCTCTGCCTCCCAAAGTGCTGGGATTACAGGCATGAGCCACCATGCCTGTCCTACTAGCTGAAATTTTATAAAGAAGACCTTGCTTGTGGTTATTGGTTACACTGAAATACAGTTTGAACAAAAATGGATACATGCTTGTTGATTTTTTTCCAGCTTCGAGAATGAATGAGTTGGTGCCCAACATCCTCCATAGGTGACCCATGAATGACTTTTTAAATTTTTGTTGGGAGATCATAGATCTTTCTACACTTGATGTGTTGTAAGCAGTCGAAGTCGAAGTCATCCTATAGATACAGGGCTCTCCTGGTTTTGACTAGTGGGGGCTCCTTCAAGTTGGCCCAGTATTTGTCGAATGACAGTCTGAAGGCTTCTCAGCTTTTTGTTACAAGATATTCCAACCTCATTTTGTGCCGGCCCAGACCTGGAAACAGTTCTCTCTCCAAGGCTCCTAGGTTCCTTTTGTGGGCAATGGTAATCGGAAATGATGAATCGTGGGTAAGGGGTGCTCATTCCTACCTGGGCTCTTGAGCTGCTCCTGGTCCTTTCTCAAATAGGGAACAAGGAAATACACTTTCTTTTAAGGTAGGAAATGTCAATGAATTATACTGCTATTTCCAATTCTAGTTTTAGAGTTTTTACTTTTTTTATTTTCATTTTTGATTATCTGAAAAAACCTGCGTTCCTAAGGACATTATAATGACTTACCTGCTTTATTCTGCTACATATAACAAAAACACCACGCCAATAGTATTACTAACAACATGATTACTGAACAAAGCTTGTAGATTTCTTTTTGTAGTTCTATTTGTCTATAGCAGTGGTTTTCATACTGTCGTCCCAGATTAGCAAAAATCATCATCACTGAGAAATTGTTGGACATGCAAATTATCAGGATCTCCCCAGACCTGAATCGAGCTCTGGATGGGGCCCAGCCACTGGGACCTCCAGAGAACAGGGGTCTGTACCGCACAGACTCCACTCAGGAACACGGTGTCTGCATGATACAGTCTGCTGAAGTCAATTACCTGTGTGTGCAGATGCCAACAGCTTCGTGTACAGTTTGGTTCCTTGTTTTCCATCTTTAAACACTGCTGTGCTCTTTTTAATGTGCTTTCGTTATTATTGTAAAACATGCAGTTTCAAAACTACAAAGCCAGGTGTATTCAGAGAGGTCTAGCTTTTCATCCTTTCACCCTGTTTGTTTCCTGTCCTCTACAAAGTAACCATTTTTAAAAATTAGTTTTTGATTTATCCTTCCATTGTTTCTTTTTGAAGAAATGGGCATATATGCAGGTGTATTTGTATTCCCATTTATTGTATATAAAAGCTTACAGTGCACTGTAGCACAAGCTGATTTTAGGGCTGTTTCATTAATTTTTTTTCCTGAGGAAAGAGCGTAATTTCACCCTGAAAATCCAATGACTCAAAGAACAAATCTAATTTGGAGAGGTGAAAGTTGGTAGTCTTTGGACCTGCTTTTACTGGTTCAGTACATAATTTTCAGAGCTTTTACTAAGTGTGCCACGTACTTTTAGGGCTGGTGCTAGGGGCCAGGGACATTTGATGAACGAAGAAGCAGCAACTCCTACCCTCATGGAGCTAGCAGTCTGGGCTTTCTGGTGGTGGAAGATGGGTTGAGAACTAGTCCATAGATCAATTAGGACGCCTCTCCGGTGCTGGGAAGGAAACCAGCGTGAGACTGAGAGACTAGTCCGGAGAACTGAGGACAGCTGTGAGGGGTCAGGCCAGTTTGTAAGCAGAGACGTTAAGGCTGAAATGGTGGCCACGTAACATGAGCCTGTAATAAAGTGTCTTTTAATAAGGCGCAGGGCTTGGCTTTGGGGTCAGGAAGAGCTCCGTGGGTCTGAAGACCTGGACAGAGACCAGTGTGGCTATACAGCAGAGGTGTCCGTGACAACAGATTTCCAGTCTGGGAGTTTTTAGAAAAGTCATATAAAAAAAAAAAAAAGGAAGGAAGGAAGGAATGAGAGGAAGAAGAAGAAGAGAGAAGGAGAGAAGGAAGAAGGAAAGAGAGGAAGAGAGGAGGGAAGGAAGGAGGGAGGGAGGGAAAGAAGGAAGGAACCAATCACATTCCTTTTCTACCCTTATTCACAATAGCAAAATTGTATAATCACTTTTGCACACACTTGAATCTCCTAAACGTCTACACCCTGAATTCCTCAATGTTATATGTGATGCCCAGATCAGAACCACCTGGCAAACACCCAAGTCCCGACGCCCACCCCCGGGGCCCAGATTCTGGTGTGGTGGGTCCGGAGTAGCCAAGATGAGAAATCATGTAGATACTCAAATGAGTATTTTAGAAGAATAAAAGGTAGGTGGGATCAAGAGAGCTTTGACCTGGCATATTTGAATGTTATTTGTTTTATTTTAAGGCAGGAGTGAGGAGATGGTGGGCATAGAATAGGCTTGAAGGCAGAGGCTGATGGTCAGATGGTAGGAGAGTGAAGATCTCTAGGGAAAGAGTGTTGTCCACACAGAGAAACTGAGACAGTCACCCATCACTTATATACAGAAAAGCCTTTCCTGGGTCCATGCCAATCCATGTATCATTTATTGTAGGAAAAGTTGACATAATGTGGCCATTCTCCACAGTTTTGATTTCAGAATCCCTTTACACTCTTACAAATTTTTCAGGATCCTCAAAAGCTTTCATTCCTATAGGTTATAGCTATTGATATTTACCTTATTAAAAATTAAAAGGGAATTAAAAGATTTGCTAATTCAAGAGGAAAAACTATGCACCTATTGCATTTTAATATAAATAAAATATTTCTATCTTTTAACAGAAAGTAACTATTTTCCAAAGCAAGAACATTTTGGGAAGAGTGGCATTGTTTTACTTTAGAACCTTAATTAATAAAAGGGCTGATTGTCACATCTCTTCTGTGTTCAGTCTTTTGCCATACCACATATGTGGCCCCTGGAAAACTTCACTCGTGAAAGAATGAGAGTGAAAAATCAAATAACTTCTTAGTATTATTGGATCATTTTGACCCCATGGCTCCCCGAAAGGGGTTTTGGGACTCTCAGAGGTCCCTGTTCAAATTGCTAAAATTGTGATTGGGTACATTACATGTGACATATATTGCTTTAGCATCTACTATTTGCTTCATTTAAAAAGCCAAGTTTTGGCCTGGGTGGTGGCTAACGCCTGTAATCCTGGCACTCTGGAAGGCCGAGCGGTGGATAGCTCGAGGTCAGGAGTTCAAAACCAGCCTGAGCAAGAGCGAGACCCCGTCTCTACTATACAGAATTAATTATGGCCAACTAATATATGTAGAAAAAAATCAGCCGGGCATGGTGGCGCATGCCTGTAGTCTCAGCTACTCAGGAGGCTGAGGCAGGAGGATCGCTTGAACCCAGGAGTTGAGTTTGCTGTGAGCAGGCTGACGCCACGGCACTCACTCTAGCCTGGGCGACAAAGCGAGACTCTGTCTCAAAAAAAAAGCCGAATTTTATACAAAAGGACAAATAATTGTATGATCCACTTATATGCGGTACCTAGAACAGTCAAATTCATAGAGACAGAATTGGATGGTGGTTACCAGAGGCAAGGGGTAGGAGGGAGGGTGAGGAGTTAATAGCGACAGAGTTTCAGTTTGGGAAGATGAAAAAGGTCTGGAGACGGATGGTGACGATGGTGGCACCACAATGTCAATGTACTAAGTGCCACTGACTGTGTACTTAAAAGTGGTTAAGATGGCAAGTTCTATGTTATGTGGTTTTTACCACAGTACAAAAAACCTAATTTTAAAAAAGCAAGCCTCATGTAAATCTATAGTGTAGAAAGTGAAACTCTTCTAATGATTGTTTTTAATAGTTTACAATCTATTTCTTCA